GGGTATGTAAATTTATGATCCCTTTAAAATATTCATTAGACATGTCAAGTAGGCAGCTGAGTAGATAGGCTTGGAGTTCAGAAGAGACAGCTGAGCTAGCTATGAGATGACTCACACATTTATAAATGGATGAAATAACCTTGAGTTCAGGATGTAAGGAGAAAGGGACCTAGAAATGAACCTTCAGGAACTCCAACATTTAATGGCTAGGTGTTACTGGTTGAATTGTCCTCCAAAGTTTGTATTTGAAGCCCTAGTAACTCAGATTGTAACTGTATTTGCAGACACTGCCTTTAAAGAGGCAATTAAGTTAAAATAAGAATGGTAGAGTGGGGCCTAATCCAACCTGACTGGTGTCTCATAAGAAATTTGGACATACAGAGAGACACCAGGAGGGAGAGTACACAGAAGTAAAACCATGTGAGTACATAACAAGGAGGCAGCCATCTGCAAACCAAGGAGAGGCCTCAGGAGAAACTAAATCTGCTGACACCTTGATTTTTGTACTTCAAAGCCACAAGAACTAAGAGAAAATTAATTTCCATTGTTCAATAGCCACCAAGACTGTGGTTTTGTTACGGCAGCTCTAGCAAAATAATACACTAGATTAAAAAAAAAAAAAAAAGATTGTGGGGGGAATATTGTACAAAGATGACAGAAGATAATTCCTGGAGATTATTTTGTCATAATAGAGTATTTTGTCACAGACGTCAAGGCAAGAGTGTTTCAAGTGTGGGAAGCAGTCAACAGTGTTAAGCTTGGCTGACAGGTCAAGATGAAAACTAAAAACTGTTCTCTGGATTTAGTGAGTTGGAGTTTAATGGTATTCTTTGAGAGAGAGCACAAGCAGGCAGAGGGAAAGGGAGAAGCAGACTCCCCCCTGAGCAGGGAGCCTGCCATGGGGCTTGATCCCAGGACCCTAGGATCATGACCTGAGCAAAAGGCAGACACTTAACCGACTGAGCCACGCATGCGCCGAGTTTGATGATATTCTTAACACAGACTCTTGGTGGTGTAAAGTGCAGAAAGACAGAATGGTATGGGTTAAAGAGTGAGGTCGGGGAAGTGAAGAAATGACAGAAGATTACGGACAACTCTTGAGGTTTGATAGGGGAAGGGAATAGGGAACGAAGTTCTTTTTAAATGGGAGAGACTTAACCTTTTTTCTCAATGGAAGTTTTCAGTTTAAAGAAGAAATTGAATGTATAAACAAAGGAATTGGTAGAATAGCATTCTTGAGAAGGGTGGAGGGGACAGTTTACAGCTGAGATGGGGGAGGATCGGCCCTTTGTTAACAGGGAAAGAAGGGCTGGGAGCAGATGTGGACACCTTCAGAGTAACTCAGGGTATAAAGGGATGGTTGCTTATTTTCTGGTTGGTGAAGGTCCTTGGTTTTTAAGCCATCTTTGCTTCCTAAAATGAAATCTCAGTTCAACTTTGCCCTTATAACTAGTGTCACTTCCTCTCATATTCTGGCATTTGATTGGTTGGTTGTCTATTTTCAGTGTGGTTGTGAGTCTTCACCTTAATGCCATTGGTATTTTAGAAGTTTTGAGAAACTTCAAAGGGCAGTTGCTAGTCAGACACCATAAAGATGACAAGTTTCTGTCTTCTCGAGTTTTATGTTTAAATACTTAAGCCAGGGGCACCTGGGTGGCTCAGTTGGTTAAGTGGCTGCCTTCGGCTCAGGTCATGATCCCAGGGTCCTGGGATAGAGCCCCACATCAGGCTCCTTGCTCCGCAGGAAGCCTGCTTCTCCCTCTCCCACTCCCCCTGCTTGTGTTCCCTCTCTCGCTGTGTCTCTGTCAAATAAATAAATAAAATCTTTAAAAAAGTTTTGAAAAAAAAAATACTTAAGCCATCTGGAATTTATAATATATGGGGGACGTCTGATACTTTTCCCAAATTGCTAGCCAGTTATCTCAATACCATTTCAACAAATATATCTGAGTGCCTACCAACCACTTTGTGCAATATGAGAAATTATCTTTCTTAAAGACCTTAGTATTTCACCAAGCGTTAAGAGACCAATGAGTTACAACAAAGTACTATAACGTAATTATCATTAGCAGTTCATACACAGAGAGATTAAATTTTTATACAATTATAGGAAATGCCTTTTTCTAGATTCTTATAGAAAACCAGACCTGATAGGGGACAGTGGAGAGTTGGAGACAGGGGAAGGGGTTTACAGGAGTAAGGCAGTCCAGGGAGAGGAACTAGCATGATGAGCAAAAGCTGAAGTGAGAAACTGCAGGATGTCTTTGGGAAATAAGGTTAGATTATGGTGGAAGGTAAGCAGTACTAAAGTTTATACTGTAGTTAGTAGACAGCAAAAAAACCCCACTGGCCTAGAGATGGTTTGGGGCTATAAAATGCTTTGAAGCTATACTTGAAGAAGGTTAATTAACTTAGTACACACTTTAGATTGATTGGGGAAAAAAAATTAAACAAGTCACAGGCTTGTTACAAAAGGTAAATGCAGTTTATTAAAAATCAAGAAAATATATCAGGTTGTACATATGGAAGAAGTTCAATAGACTTAAGATCCTCACTATCTAAATAAGCAGGGTTTTCATACTTATGTAGAGGTACAAACTTTTCCACAGAAGCTCATCAGTGAATAAAACCTCGTATTGTCCTCATACCCCTGTCTTAGCCTCCTCAAAGGGTCAGGCTAGAGGGCATCAAGGATAAGTATAGAGGCTACTTTAAGGCAAACAGGCTTGAGTGATGTTAATATAGAAAGGGCTTTCAGTGACCCCCTGGCTGAATACAGACAGGCCCATCAGGCAACCCACCTGAAAATATCCATAGGCCCTAACTGACCAATGGGCTTACAACCAGGCACAGTTACCAAAAAAGGGAAAATTCCATATGTTGCCATACCTCCTCACCTTCCCTCTTTGAAAACAGCCCCCACACGGTGCAAGGGTGGCTCAGTCCATTAAGCATCAGACTCTTGATTTCAGCTCAGGTCATAATCAAAGGGTCATGAGATTGAGTCCCATGTTGGGCTCCATGCTGGGCCTGGAGCCTAAGATTCTCTCTCTCCCTCTGCCCCCACCTCCCCCTCTAAAAACAACCAAAAAAACAGCCCCCACCCACTGCCTCCTTACACCTCCAATCTCCAGGTGAATTCTTTTCACTGCCCGTGCCACCCACCGGCTTCCACCGAATCATTGCCCATTTGGGGCCCCCATCCAATTGAGAGAGACCCTACAATAAGCTGTGGAAGAAAGAGAATAAAACCCTTGGAATGAACAGAGTAGGTAGCTTTTCTCTTTCCCAGAGAATGACAGCCCTTTGGGAAAAGGGGAGGGATTATAAAAGCTAGGAAGGACTTATGGAGACATAAGGTAGTGATGATGACTCTGAATTGCAGAGGTAGACAAGCAAAGCAGGGGACTGCCACTAACAAGTGACCCTGTGTAAGGGAGAATGTGCTATGTTGAGTTTTCTAAATCTTCTGTGTTATTTTGCCCAACTTATCATGAGACAGAGGTTCATGGCCCAGGACCTCCAACCAGAGGAAAAAGTTCACATGGCTGGAGCATGGGGGACAGAGTGCTGGGTGAAAACAAAGAACCTCTACACCCAGAACAACTGTGCCCCTGAAAGGTCAGCTGTGTTCTCTTTGAGAGTGAGTTCCCTGCTCTGATGCTTCTCTCAGATGTTCAGAAACATCCCGAGTTGGCCCTGTGCACGCTGCCCTCAGAAGTGATCACAGCTTTCCAGGAGAGCATACAGCTTCTGCAAATCAAGTTTTCTTTGATTTTGCTAATACCTCACCAATTTGTACCGAGGCTGCTTCTGAAGGTCTGACAATGTACCTGTGCATTAGGTTAAGTTTCACTATCCTCCCTTTAAAGAGTTCCAATTCTGTGTTTAGTTACAGGAGAGACAAGATGCCAGTCAAGAGGTTAAAGTTATGATAATAACCTGTATGTCAAGGCCTAGCAGTAAGAGTAGGAATTAAGAGGCAGCAAAAACGAAAGAAGTTTGGGCGCCTGGGTGGCTCAATCAGTTGAACTTCTGACTCTTGATTTTGGCTCAGGTTGTGATCTCAGGGTTGACAACGAGCCCAGTATGGAGCCTGCTTTAGATTCTCTCTAAAAAAGGAAAGAAGTTTTAGGAGGAAAAAAAAAATGAAGGAATCATGAATTTAGGGTCTAATAGGTCTTCGACACAGATGCTGAATTGTCGAGGGGTGAAAGTGCCAGGGAGGGAGTCAAACAAGAGCACAACCCAGGTGCTATAGACACCACCTTCCTTAGAAGGTCCTGGTCCTGGCTGGCTGCTCCGCCAGCCAGGGGTCTTTGAAATCAAAGGCCCAGGGCTGGGGCTTCTGAAGAGGTGTCTGCAGGACTCAGGGTGTTGAGGTCCTAAAAGCAGCAGAAGTCAGGCTGGTTGAGGATAGTCAGCCTCTTAAGACTGGGGCTTTATATACGAAAGTAGGAAAAGCCACAATTTATACACTGTCTCCCCCCAAGACTCTTTCCCTTGGAGTTCTCAGCCCCTGCCCTCCCTAATAACACTAGTCATCATTCTGTGCTTTGTGCCATTCCCACAATCCCCTTATTTCTTTAAGCTGAATTCAATTTGGTGGGAAGGGGAAAAGGTGATCCTCTGGTTTCTCTGAAGTCACATTTGACAGGCCTCTAGGCCAATGTTTTGTCTTCTAGAGCTTGATGCTGAGCAGTATGAAAAGAAGGGCAGGAAGGGCTCCACTCATCTGGATCAGGAATCTCACTTCTCAGTATCTGCCCTGCAGAGTTCTGTCTTCCCAAGGCATAAATGGGCTGAAGGTGCTTCCTTCTCCCACAGCAACCGGTTTCATTTCTCCTTAATCCACAGCCTAGTCCTCTGTAAAGAAATCAGTCTGATGGAGGGGAAGAAAACTGGATTGAGGAGAAAGAAAGCAATGAAACCATGAGAGATAGAAAATTTATTATGCAAACTGGAGCCCTGGCAAAGTGCCAGAGGACTTTCCCAATTAAGGTGCGCATCCCTGTATTACAGGTATCAAATCAGAGTAACACATCCTGGAGAACAAAATGAGAATTCAGAAAACACAGTTTCTCAGAGGCCCACCAGATCTGGACTCCTTTTTGAAACACTCTAATTCAGCAGCTCTGGGCAAATATTAACTGCTTGCTGAATGCTGACTGTGACACCGGCCAACTGTTAAGGCACCAGCTGTCCCGAGGAAGAAGAGGACTGTGGATGAAGAAGAGCTGCCTGGCTTCTAGGAAAGTAATAGCTGATAAGGAGAGTCAAGGAAGATCTACTTCATCACTTTAAAATCAACTTTACTAGAACTGCTACTTCTCTAGTTTAGTAGTTATTGAAATATTCACTCTGAAAGTAGCATGCCTTAATTCCCTTTCACTGTATCGTAAATTCTTCCAATACTGTTAGTACTGACTACTGCTACTGTTATCTCATTATTAAACTCTTTTGATACTGCTTGAATTGTACAAGCATACAAAACAGGACTTTTCTGCTAAGTTTTTACAGTGATTTACATGTCTTGAAAAACAACACTGTATCGAAGTATCTAAGTAAAAAGATGGAGTTTCTGTATATGATTATAGCACTTGGGGGTCAGTTCAGCTTCTAGTTGATTTTTTTAGACTCAGTGTAATAGTTCAAACAATGCTAACTGATACAGTAAGGAGATCATTAGAAGAAAATACTAGTCTAGCAGTACTAGATTATATCCTAGTGGTCAAAAAGAATTTCACACTGCACCCTAAGAATACATTGAATGGGTTCAAAAGTAAAATAGTTCTCTCGTTTGTTTGTTTACTTTAGTGAACAGAGCCTTGTCTACAGGCCTGAAGGGTCTCTAGAGACCTAATGTGAAAAGAGTCAATGTTATCAAATGACAATTATTCAATGAACTCCCCCCCTCATATACTCCTAGCTGCTGGAACCCAGAAATGCTTGGGTGTATTCATCTCCTTGGATATGTACATACAAGTTACAAAGTACTTCTTTGTTTTTGTCTCACTGGTGAGGGGCAAAGTAAAAAATGTGGCAGAAGAAGGCTTGGCCTTGATTAGTGATACCAGAAAATCCAAGACCTTTTCTCCGAGCTGAGAGAACACACTAGTAAGATCACAAAAGGATACATGTAAGTTGGGATGCCTTTTGCAGCCAAGTGTTTCCGAATCAGTCGCTCAGTACCATACCAGTTAAAACCTTTCGTGGCATGTCCAATGCGTGGTAGATGAACACTTGCTGTTAAAGAGGAAACAAATAGATTATGATGTCTTCATTCATCAAAAACTTGATTCAGTATAAAATATACATAAAACTATACTCTTAGTCACTTTGTGGTTTCCAACAGACAAAATGTACATAATCATGGGGTATCCCACACAAAGCATAAAATTACAATGTCAAAAATATTCTGGGGCAGGACTATAATAGGAAAAATTAAGTAATTCTATTAAACACAAAGACCTACAGGCTCTGGAAATAAGCAGGTACAATGAAAATAGAATATGATCAATGTTGGAGATAAAAAACTTTTTTTTTTTTAAGAGAGTGGGAGGAGGGAAGGGGGAGAGGGAGGATCTGAAGGAGGCTCCATGCTCAGTGCAGAGCCGGAGGCGGGGCTTGATCTCACAACCCTGAGCTCATGACCTATGCTGAAATTAAGAGTCAGGCACTTAAAATTGACTGACCCACCCAGGCGCCCCAAAATAAACAGATTCTTTAACAAGTCAATCAGTTCAACAAACTCTGAGTTTTATTTGGAAATAAAACTTTTGGCAGAGAACTGTGGCTTGGATGCAGCTATCCAAGAGGGGAAGGGTTAGGATAAACAGCATTCCCCAATTGCATCTGACCAGATTACTACATCTCTGGTCTTCTGCTTCCTCATCTGTAAAATCATGACACAAATACCCCAGTGCAGGGAGATGGTCCACAGAGATAATGAAAGTGATCTGGAAAGAAAAACAGGCTGATCAAGATGGTGTGGTCCACTTGTGTGGTCTCTCACATGGGGCCTTACCTTTACCATATATATTAACATCTCTCACCATCATGGAACACTACATCAAAAACTAATGATGTAATGTATGGTGATTAACATAACATAAAAAAAAAAAAAATCCTATCACATGCCTGGAAACAGAAAGTCATCTCCTGAAAAGCTTACCTTTCTTTCTCTTTGCTGCTAAATAGATCTTCTTCAGGCCCTCTTCTAGGGCTGCCATCTTAATGCCAGACAGGACATTGGAGCGATCACGGTGCTGAGCCACAATCAAGGCCAACTAGGAGGAACAGCCATCACATGGTTGACATGACCCGAGAAGGCTGCACTGTCAACTAAGTCACCTGCCCACGGAGGGGGCTTTGTCTCCATCTTCTTTGGAGGCTCTGCCTGAACCACGTCCTACCAAATTCATGACTTAATCTTCTATCGTAATTGTTTTATTTTGTGGTAACTTTATACACAAGCATTTCTTCTTCATTTTAAGGTATGTTAAAACCAGCGTCCAAAACATGCTGTCTTTCCTAAGTGCGCTCAATGGTAAAGAAAGCATTTTTCAGTCTTAGGAGCAGAAAGGACTTTACAGGTTCCTGTATCCCACCCTCTGGCTGATGCTCGAGTCAGCTCCCAACCCCCATCCCATCTCTGTCCTAACCTAAGTGGGGGAGACTGGAGAGAGTGTCAACGGAGCTTCTGGGACTGACATCCCTACCACCATATGGTAACCAGTTGTAAATAGTTTTCTTGAGTCACTGGATTCTGAGCATCTGTGCCATAACCACTGTGTTGTTCACATTTTTTAGCATTTTAGAAATGACTGAAAAAATGAGCAGGCAGAAGCCACTTTGCTGTCAGCCACACAGACCACCAACCTCAAGAAAATATGTCCCTTTCAGCCCAGTTTCTAAATTTCTTTTCTAAGTCAGTAAGATTTGGCTCTAAATTGAATATGAATTCAGGCCCTTGAGAAAGTCAGGTTAAGTGTGGTTAATAAAACATCTTAGAAGAATTCTAGAGGACTGGTAAGTTAAGAGACACTTCAGATGCAAAAGGAGAATTTTTTTTTTTTGAAAGAGAAAGCCTGAGTCGGGGGTGGGGCAGAGGGAGAGAATCTTAAGCAGGCTCCACGCTCAGCGCAGAGCCCATTGCAGGGCTCAATCTCAGGACTCCTGAGATCGTGACCCGAGCCGAAATCAAGAGTCGGAAGCTTAACTGACTGAGCCACGCAGGTGTCCCCTTTCAAAGGAGAATTTTAATACAGGCAGAGGAACTATGGATCGGCTCCTCTCCTCTGCTTATGGCTGGCTACTAAACACAATCTTTTACACAACTTTTCACATAGTAAATGATGAAATGCTTGGAGTTCTGAGTAATGTTTTCTTATTCAGTGTTTCCTGAGCATTTTCTATAAGCTGGTACTGTGTGAGGTATTGAGGATAAAATGACAGGACGGAGGAGCCTGCCTAAGGTCTGTGTAGACAACAAGCAAGTTAGAGGACAGTGTTCCAGGGGCTGTGATGGACAGAAGCAAGGAGGATGGAGGGAGTGTGGTGGAGTGTGAGGCCCAACCTGCTTGTTATGGGTTGAATTGGGTCCTCTCAAATTCCTATGTTGAAGCCCTAACCCTCAGTACTTTAGAATGTGACTGTGTGTGCAGACAGGCCTTTTAAAGAAGAAAATAAATTAAAATGAGGCCATTAGTGTGGTGCCTGATCCAGTCTGACTTCTGTGCTTACAGGAAGAAATATGGACATAGACTGAGACACCAGTGATGCACACACAGAGGAAAGACCGTGTGAGAAAACACACAGGTGGCCACCCCTAAGCCAAGGAGAGAGGCTTCAGAGGAAATCAACCCTGCCGGCACCTTAATCTTAGACCAGTAGCTTCCAGAACTGTGAAGAAATTCATCTGTTTTCTAAGCCACCTAGTTGGTGGTGTTTTATAACAAACTATAGAAATGATCTCTGAAAGTATAGTGTTGGTGGTGTTTTATTATGACAGCCCAAGCAACTAAAGGCCAGCAGGAACAGGAGAGGTTTTAGGAGGAGGTGATGTGAGCCAAAATTTAGGTCTGATAAGAGGTGTTTTTTTACTTACCAAATCTTGCCCTTTGTTTCTTGACTCTTTATCATCAATAGGAAATAAAAGGACGCCTCCCAAATTCAAGTCTGAGGTAAAATAAAAGAGCAACAGACAGAAGGTGAGGTTCACTCTGGACTGAGACCCCCGAAGAGGGACTCTTGTGAATGCCCCAACTCCTTTCCTTTTTGGCCATTCAGGTTGCAACCTCACTTTTTCTCACTCTCTTAGCTTCAGTCACTGCCTTTGCCAGGCACTCACATGATCCACTCCTGAGGGGGTGATTTTGGCTCAAAAACTTTCATTTTTTTAATGTTTTATTGTGGTAAAATATACCTAACATAAAATTTACCATTGTAACCATTTTTAAGCTCACAGCTCAGTAGCATCAAGTACCATCACACTGCTATGCAATCAATCTCCACAACTCTCTTCACCTTGCAAAACTGACACTCCATACTCATTAAACATCTTCTCCCCATCTCCCCTACAACCACCACTCTTACTTTCTACCTCTGTGAATCTACTGGAGTTACTTCGTCTAAGTAGGTTCACACAATACTTGTTTTTTGTTTTTTGGTGACTGGCTTATTTTACTTGGCATAATGTCCCCAGGATTCATCCATGTTGTAGCATGTGTCAGAATTTCCCGGTTTCCAAGCCTGAATAATAGCTCACTGTGTACTGCACTGTTTATCTATCCATCCATCCGACATTGGGGTTGCTCCCACCTTTAGGCCATTGTGAATAATGCAGCATGGGTGTACAAATATCTCTGTGAGTCCCTGCCTACAGTTCTTACAAGAGGGATTGATGGATCATATGGTAACTTTATTCTTAATTTTTTCAGGAAACACCATACTGTTTTCCATAGCAGCTCCATCATTTTACATTCGCACCATCATCACAAGTGTTCTAATTTCTCCACATCCTCACAAACATTTGTTATCGTCTATTTTTTTATTGAGGTTAACTGACATATAACACTGTGTAAGTTTAAGGTGTACAGCACATTGATTTTCACATTTATACTGCAACACAGTCGCCTCTGTAGCATGAGCTAACATCGCAATCACATCCCATAACTGTCACTCCTTCTAGTGCTGGGAACAATTAACGACCTAGTCTCTTAGCAATTTTAAGGTTTACAATAAAGTTCTGTTGTCTGTAGTCCCTGCACTGTGTATCAGACCTCTAGGACTTATTTATCTCCTAAGTGCAATTATGTACCCTTAAACATTATCTCTACCATTTCTGCCACCCCAGCCCCTGGTAACCACCATTTCATTCTGGTTTTTTTTTTTTAGTTTCAGATTCCACATTAAGGGACACACGTGTGTGTGTGTGTGTGTGTGTGTGTACATCTTCTTCATCCATTCATTTGTTGACAGACACTTGTTTCCGTATCTTGGCTCTTGTGAATAATGCAGAAATCAACAAGGGAGTGCAGATATCTCTTTGATAACCTGTTTTCATTTCCTTTGAATATATACCCAAAAATGGGATTACTGGATATGATAGCTCTAATTGTAATTTTTTGAGGAACCTCCATACTGTTTTCCATAGTGACTGCACCAGTTTGCATTCCCACCAACTGTGTATCACAGTTCTTCTCTCTACATCCTCATCAATACTTATTATCTTTTTTCTTCTTGATGGTAATAGCCATCCTGACAGGTATGAGGTCATATTTCACTGTAGTTTTGATTGGCATTTCCCTGATGATTACTGATGTTGAGCATCTTTTCGTGTCCCAGTTGGCCATCTGTACATCTTCTTTGGAAGAATTAATTGGACTTTTTTTTCTGTTGAGTTGTCCAAGTTCTTTATAAATGTTGAATAGTAACCCCTTATCCAATATATGGTTTTCAAATATTCTCTTCCTTTCTGTAGGTTGCCTTTCCATTTTGTTTTTTCTTTTGAAGTGCAGAAGCTTCTAAGTTTGATGTTGTCCCACTTACTGATTTTTGTCCTTTACTTTTTTGGGGGGGGGGCTTCAGATTTATTTTTATTATGCTATGTTAATCACCACACATTACATCATTAGTTTTTGATGTAGTGTTCCATGATTCATTGTTTGTGCATAACACCCAGTGCTCCATGCAGAACGTGCCCTCTTTAATACCCATCACCGGGCTAACCCATCTCCCCACCTTCTCCCCTCTAGAACCCTCAGTTTGTTTCTCAGAGTCCATAGTCTCTCGTGGTTCGTCTCCCCCTCCGATTTCCCCCCTTCATTTTTCCCTTCCTGCTATCTTCTTCTTTTTTTAACATATAATGTATTGTTTCAGGGGTACAGGTCTGTGACTCAACAGTCTTACACAATTCACAGTGCTCACCATAGCACATACCCTCCCAATGCCCATCACCCAGCCACCCCATCCCTCCCATCCCCCACCACTCCAGCAACCCTCAGTTTGTTTCCTGAGATTAAGAATTCCTCATTTCATTGAAGTCATATGATACATGTCTTTCTTGGTTTCTCTTCAGATCGCATAAATCTTTCGCTTTTTTTCCTTTACTTTTGTTCTTTTGGTGTCCTCCCCAAAAAACTACTGCCAAAGCCAATCTCAAGGAATTTCTTCCCTCGTTTTCTTCTAGGAGTTTTATGGCATCAGGTCTTATGTTTAAGTCTTTGATCCATTTTGAGGTAATTTTTGTGAGTGGAGTAAGGTAGGGGTCCCAATTTCATTTTCATGCATGTGGCTATCCAGTTTTCCCAACATCATTTGCCGAAAAGACTACATTTTCCCTATTGGATGTTCCTGGCTCCGTTATCAAGTATCAGTTGGCAATGTATGTAGAGGTTTAATTCTGGGGTCTTGTATTCTGTTCCACTGATCTACATGTCTTTTTTTATGCTGGTACCATACCGTTTTAATTATTATCACTTTGTAGGATAGTTTGAAATCAGGAAGTGTGATGCCTCCTGCTTTGTTCTTCTTTCTAATGATTGCTTTGGCTATTCAAGGTCTTTTTTGGTTTCATTCAAATTTTAGGATTTATTCTATTGCTGTAGAAAATGCTACTGGACTTTTGATAGGGATTGCATTAAATCCAGAGATGGCTTTGTGGAGCATGACCATTTTAATGATATTTCACAATCACTGATCAGAAGAGTTAATATCTTTTCAATTGTTTATGTCTTCCTCAATTTCTTTAAACAAAGTCTTGTAATTTTGATTGTCTAAATCTTTTACTTCCTTGGTTAAACTAATTCTTAGATATTTTATTGTGTTTGATGTTACAGGGAATGGATAGTTTTCTTCATTTCTTTTTCAGATGTTTCACTGCTAGTGCATAGAGAAGGAACTGATTTCTGTATGTTGGTTTTAGATCCTGCAACTTTACTGAATTCATTGATTACATCCAATAGTTCTTTTTCCAATTGATTAAATCTGATATATTGAGAATTTGGGATTTTCAATATACAAGATCACATCATCTGCAAATAATGACAATTTTACTTTTTCCTCTCTGATTTGGATACCTTTTAATTTGTCTTGCCTGACTGCTCTAGCTAGGACTGCTGGTATTATGTTAAATAAGAATGAGGAGAATAGGCGGGGACCCCTGTCTTGTTCCTGATTTTAGGGGGAAAGCTTTGATTTTTCTCTGTTGAATACAATATTAACCGTGGGTAACATATATGGCTTTTATTATGTTGATGTTATGTTCCTCCTACACTTATTCTATTGAGGGTTTTTATCATGAAAGGATGTTGTATTTTGTCAAATGCTTTTACTTCATCTGTTGAGAAGTTTAATGATTTTTGTCTTTCATTCTACTATCACATTTGATTTGCATATGATGAACTATCCCTGCATCCCAGGGAGAAATCCCACTTGGTCATGGTGTGTAATCCTTTTAATGAGTTCTTAGGTTTGGTTTGCTAATATTTTTTTGAGAATTTTTGCTTCTATATTCATCAGGATACTGGTCTACAGTTTTCTTTTCTTATAATATCCTTACCTGGCTTTGGTATCAGGGTAATACTGGCCTCACAGAATGAGTTTGAAAGTGTTCCCTCCCCTTTGATTTTTCTGGAGTTTGAGAAGGGTTGGCATTAATTCTTCTTAAAATGTTTGGTAAAACTCGTCCATGAAGCCATCTGGTCCTGGAAGGTTTTTAAAACCTGAGTCAATCTCCTAACTCATAATCAGTCTGTTCAAACTTTATATATCTTCCTGGTTCAGTCTTAGTAGGTTGTAGGACTATGAAATTTATCCATTTTTTTCTAGATTATCTAATTTGTTGGCGTAAAATTGTTCATAGTAGTGACTTATGATCTTAATGTTTTTCTGCAGTGTCAGCTGTAATTTCCCCTCTTTCATTTCTGACTTTGAGTCTTCTTTTTTCTTAGTCTTGTTAAAGGTTTGTCAATTTTATCTTTTCAAAAAACCAGCTTGTAAGAGTCACTGATCTTCTCTATTGATTGATTTATTTCAGATCTCTTATTTATTTCAGATCTCATCTTTATTTCCTTCCTTCTGCTAACTTTGGGCTTACTTTGCTCTTCTTTTTTTAGTTTCTGTGGTATAAAGTTAGGCTGTTTATTTGAAATATCCTTTCTTAAAATAAGCATTTATTGCTATCAACTTCCCTGTTGGAAATGCTTTTGCAGCATCCATCAGTGTTTTGGTATGTTGTGTTCCCATGTGTTTCGAGATATTCTTTGGTCTGCCTTTTGACTTCTTCTTTGACTCACTGGTTGTTCAGGAGTGTGCTGTTTAGTTTCCACATATTTGGAGATTTTCTAACTTTCCTCATTAAAAATTTCTACTTTCATACCACTGTGGTTGGAAAGGATACTTGGTATTATTTCAGTCTTATTTTGCTATGACCTGTTTTGTGCTCTATTCTTGAAAACGTTTGTGTACTTGAGAAAAATGTGTATTCTGCTGCTGTTGGATGAAATTTTCTGTAGATGTCTATTAGGTCAATTTGATGTACTATTTGGTCCAAGTCTATCTCCTTGTTGCTTCTCTTTCTGCATGATCTGTGCATTGCTGAAAGTGATATATCAAAGTCCCCTACTATTATTGCACTGTTGTCTATTTCTCCCTTCATATCTGTTACTATTTGTTTAATATATTTAGGTGCTCTGATGTTGGGTGAATATATACTGTTGCTATACCTTCTTGATGCATCGATCCCTTTATCATTATATGACTTTGTCTCTTGCTACCATCTAGGTTTAAAGTCTACTTTGTCTGATGCAAGGACAGCCACCCCCTCCCTTTCTTTAGTTCCCACCTGCATAGATTATCTTTCTTCATCCCTTCACTTTGAATCTATGTGTGTTTTTAAGGCTCAAGTTGGTCTCTCATAGGCAGCAAATAGCTGTGTCCTTTTTGTTTTTTCCATCAGCCACTGTGCCTTTTGCTTGGTGAATTCAGGCAAATTCCAATATATTTCCATTGTTTCTTTTTCCCTCTGTTTCTGTCTACCTTCATAAACTGGTTATTTTCTGTGGTGGTATACTCCATTTCCTCTTTGTCTCTTGTGGATCCACTCTAGGTTTTTGTGATGTTGTTACCATAAAACACCTTACAGATAAAACAGTCCATCTTAAGCTGACAGCAACTTGTGTTCAATCACCTATTAAGAGGTTCCCCCTTTTATTCCTTTTATCCCTTTTTACCTCTTTTTATGTTGTGTGTTCATTAATGGTTCTTGTTACTGTCCTTTTCCTTTAACCTTCATACTGGAGTTGAGTGGTTAACGCACCATCCTAATATAGACTACAGTAACCTAACTCTATCTCTCACCTTTACTAGTGTGTTGCGTACTTCCATGTTTTCGTGATACTGATCAGTACCTTTTCATTTCAGCTTGAAGAACTCCTTTCAGCGTCTTGCAAGGCAGGTCCAGTGGTAGTGATGTCCCTCAGCTTTTGTCTGGGATATCTTATCTGCAAGATAACTTGGCCAGATACAGTATCCTCAGCTGGCAGTCCTTATCTTTCCCGACACGGAATATGTCGTTCCACTCTCTCCTGGCCTGAAGTTTCTGCTGAGAAGTCCGCTGTCAGCCTGATGAGGGTCCTTTCTAGGTTATGTTCTTTTCCTCCCTGGCTACTTTTTCCCTGATTTTTCAGTTTCATTATCATGTGCCTTGGGAAGGCCTTTCTACATTGAGATAATGGGGTGATCTATTAGCTTTGTGGACTTATGTGTCCCAGTCTTTCCCCAGGTTTGGGCCATTCTCAGCTATCATTTCTTTAAATGAACTCTGCCCCTCTTCTCCCTCTCTTCCTTTTCTAGAAGCCTACTTATTCTGATATTTGTCTTACTCTGATAGTTGTCTTTCTGATCCAATCCCACAGCTCTTCCTTAATCTCTATTCTTTCATCTCTTCTGTGTTATTTCAAAACTCCCATCCTCCAAGTCATTTATTCTTTCTTCCATATGGTCTGCCCTGCTACAGCTGCTCTCTATTGTAGTCTCCACCTCATTCATCAAATTCTGCAGCTCCAGAATTTGTTTGGTTCTCTTCTACGGAATAGAACTCATTCTGTTCATGTTTTACTCCTGATTTCAATGAATTGCCTTTTAATAAAAGTTTTCCTGCAACTCATTGGGCTTATTCATAACTGCTATTCTGAATTCTTTATCAGATTGCAATATTCTGTGCCTTTGAGCTTGGTTGCTGGAGAACTGTCATTTTCTTTCTGTGATGCCATATGTCCTTGATTATTCACATTCCTCATAGTCATGCCCTGCTGCTTTTGCATTTGAAGTAGCAGATACCTCCTTAGCTCTGTGCTCACTGCTTTCAGCAGACGGTTTTATGTTCTGTGGTACTGTCACTGAGTTATTCCTTGTGTTTTTGAGGTATACCTGCTCCACGCTTCTTGCTCTCTTGGGGCCAAATGTTTAAGCCTTTGTGTCATCTCTGGATGTTACAATTCACCAGGCTGCCTCTTGGAAACAGCATTCTAGAAGAGCTATATATAGCTCAGGTTTGTGGTTTTTTTCCTTGACCGATGACCAAGGCCTGTTCTGAGTGCGCTCCCTGTCTACCAGAGCTCGCCCTCACACACACATTTGGGAGCCTGCACAAACAGGTGGCAGCAGAGTTAGAGGATGTGGGGGTTTAGCACTAAGGGTTTTGTGGGAGCCTGTGGACTCAGTAGGGAGATCCTGGGTGTGGTACTCCCAGAGACTGTGGCTGAGCTTCCTGTTGAGCACAAACCCTCTGACACCATATGAAATTCGGATCTACCTCCTCCCAGTCACAGAACTCCCACCTTAGTACTGTGGGTGCTGGCAGAGGAAAATGGGTTTCTCCAGCTGTGTTCCATCTGCCTGGGACAGCTAGGAGTTTACTCACCACTTTCCTTTCCCCCCGCAGGAGAGATCACCTCCACCAACTACATCAGTCCATTCAGTGTTTCCCTGGGGGAGAGGCAGCAGCAGGAGAGTTTCTCCTACCACCTCCACTGCGACCAACTCCTATTTTTGTTTTTCTCTTCCACCTTCTGCAGTGGTATCCCGAAGTCTTCCCGCAGGAAGGCCGGATTTCTGAGTTCTGTCTCATGCATGAATATCTGCCCGGTGAGCACTCATCCGATTTTTCCCTGACGGTGGCAAGAGGGGTCTAGGCAGTTGTGCTGGCTCCGTAGCCTGCATGGAGGTCTGTCTGTCTCTTATGGGTGGCAGTGGTGGGCAAGCCTCCTCTCAGGTCCTTTGGAGTAGGTGCTAGGTCCCAAAAGACCCACCAACATGCCTTTGTTTGTGTATGGATGTCTAATTCGATCAAAACGGGGGGATAAAAAGGCAGAATGTCTTATACCACCGATGTTGCTGATGTCATCCTCTTCACTTCTGAATTTTTATGATCTCCCAGTTCAATGTCCCTTACATATTGCCTACAAAGTGCTCCTGCAGGTATTGCAGAGTGAATGCAAACCCAGATCATCTGGGGATGGGAAGGGGAGAGCATTATGAACTTAAAATTCCTTCAGAAGTCTTAAGTTTGTTTTAAACCATTCAAACACTGCACTCTATCTGCATCTATTTGTACATTTTTCTAACTCATCCAAGTCAAACCAAACTAATGCTCTAGAAAAATGTGCTAAAATAATTATATGGCTTTACATACTTCAGTTTGAACCTTTTATTCCCTCAGTCCATCCTACACACACCAATCTTTTAAGTCATTCTAAAATACTGGCTCTGTTAGGCCATTCTTCTATTCAAACTCCCAAATGACTAGCCATTACTCACTGGATAAGGTCCTGCTTAGAATGGCCTCTCCCTGGACAAGCCACATACAGTCTTCTATACCATGGTCCATATCCCTCTCTTTAAAATCAAACTTTCCTCTATTCCTCAGCCTCAACCCTCTACTCTGGCCTGCCTGGCCTACACACCATTCCCTAAACACATTCACTGTATGACTGCCTGGGTCATTCAACACCCTGTACTGGGAATGACAGAAGTTGAGGGAATACCAAAAAGCATGAGAGACAGTCATGGATTATCTTCCATTTCTCACCACTCACTTAAATTCAACCCATCTCTCCAGGCCCAAGAGTACTTTCCCTGCCTCCATGAAGCCCTCCCTGGTAATTCTAGCCCACACTTTCATCTACCCAGCTCTACCCTATTTCAGTTCTTCAGAAGAGTGCACACTCTCAGCCCTGTTTCCTGACTACTCATATGCCTTAACTCTGTGCAACCAAGGTTTAGTCTTCACACTCTCCTCAAAGTACTCTAAAGTCATGCAAATCCAATGACCTTTTCCCAGTTCTCATTCTCACTTTGGTGCCTGACAATGCAGACCACTTCTTGACACCCTTTCCTCCTTTATACTTCAAAATATTACATTCTCAAGGTCCTCTTAGCTGACAATTCCTTGTCTACCCTTCTTGCTGCTGTTCCTAAGTGGAGGTGTTTTCCATGTTCTGTTTTCTGCCCTCTCATTTCCCCATCCTGCCTCCCTCACATTTTCAAACAAGGATCCAAACAGGCATTCCTCAGTCTTCATTTCTAGTTCTGACCTCTCCTGAATTCTCTGCTTTTCCAACCACCCAATCAATAGCTAGATCTCAGTTATTTTAACCTGTTAAACCTTTCTGTCATTGATCTTAGTAGAAAGAGTATTCCTTCTAAGTCCTTATATCCCTTTCCACCCTAGAGAACTAGGCAGAAGAGTTAGGGAAAACCAATCTCTGAGGAATCTGAAGGGCCCTTCTCTATTGAACAAGGTCCCTTGGCCTCTCAAGTCCCCAGAAAATAATGACAATAGTAATTTTACTCCTCTTGTTACTTTGTGATTTCTGCACGTAAAAGAAGGTGCCCTTTCTCCTTCTCCATGCCAAGGGAGGATACTTCCAGACTTCCAAGCTCCTTTGGCCCCAAGCACCTTTACTTCTGCCTCCAGGGTGTGCTGTATCTCAGCCTACACTAACCTCATAAAAGAACCTCCTCCTCTTCAACACCCAACCCCAGCTCTTGTTAGCACTTTAATGGCAGGTCTGATTTCTCTCCCACAGGTCTCTGACATTTTCGAGAAATATTCCCTCATGAAGATGGGGTGAGTTGGTCGCGGTGGAGGTAAACAATGAAACGCTCTTCATGCCAATACTTAAACACGCACAGAGGGATTGACATTTATCAGAATACTTGCATTTCCACTATCCTCATTATAGTCCCATGAGGTAGGTGGAATAAGTATTATTCACAAATTACAGATGAGAAAATAGGCACAGGGAGGGTAAGGGACTGCCTCAAAGTCACATAACTAATTAAATGATGACAAAACCAGCTAATGAGACCCCCAACTAGCTCTCCTAACTCCTTAATTAGTGCTTCATAACCCACGTGATACCTGTCCTAAGTGTCCTCTCCTCTTGTATTCCATCCTTACCCTTTTTCTCTGCTTTGCTTCTTACCTTTCATTTTCCCAGCCAGCTCATATATTTTTCTTGGCTCAGCAGATCGTGTTTCCAAAGCTGTGAATAAACCACCTCTGCCCCAGCGACCAGAGTCATCTGAGAGAAGAAAAAATTTTCATTTATAGGAGGCAAAGTCCAGCCCACAATTCGAAAACACAAAGGTATGCCAACTAGATTTGTAGAAGGATGAATTTTCAAAGGGAAGAAGCACCTATGTAGCCTCCCAGGAATATCATAGGTTGGACTTCTCAAAAATGTTTAGGTTTTATGGAATATATATTGCTATCCTAATAGGAAAGGTGGAGAGTAGACATAACGTAACAAATAGCTCAAGCATATTAAAGAGGGCACATATTGAATGGAGCACTGGGTGTTATATGCAAACAATGAATCATGGAACACTACATCAAAACTAATGATGTAATGTATGGTGACTAATGTAACAATAAAAAAACAAAAAAACAAAACAAAACAAAAAAACAAATAGCTCAAGCACTGGTAATACAACAGCATACAACTCCCATTTTACAGGTAAGGAAGAAAAAGGTTAAATGACTTATTTGAGCTGCTACTAACACGGCTGGTTAGTACCTTCTATTGACAGTCATGCACTCATTCTACAAATATTTGTTAGATGTATTACACGTCAGACACTGCTCTAGGCACCAGAGTCATAGCAGTGGACAACAACAAGAAACGGCTCCCATGAAGTTTATGAGACAATCATATAAACAAATACATACATAATACGTCAGGGTGGTGATACGTGTAATAAAGTAAATTCAGATAGGAAAGGGAGGAGAGAATAATAGAGGCATGGGGGTGGGGTCTGTTTTACACGAGGCACTCAGGGGAGACCTCTCTGAGATGCAGACACTTGAACAATGCTTAATGTGGCCATCTGTGGAAAGAGGGTTCCAGGCAGAGGAAGTAAAAAGTGCAAAGATCGTGGAAGCAGGGAGAACATGCCGGCAGTTTTGCTTTTTCTCAAAAGATTTGTCTTATATATGTTGCCTCCTTTCACCCTCTTAAAAAGACTTGTGCAGAGAATAGGGAATTATCCAATTATACACAAGCAGGTAAATGAGAGCACCAAGAGTCAAATCTGTATCTCTGGATTCTCAAATTTGCCTTTTTTTGACCACAGAACCACGCTGGCTCATCAGTCATCCCTGGGTCAGACTTCTGCCTCCTCCCCAGTTCTTGGCATCATAAAGGACAAGGCACCCACCCTGGGCCAGTACCACTCCTCCTACCTACGCAGTGCACGATGACAGCATCCTCTGCCCCAGCCTGTGGGTGGGTGACATCACCGCTAACATACTTGATGGCACTTGAATCTGGATCTTCATAATCCAGCTGGGCAGAGCTCTCCTCTTCCCTGTCCTCTAGGTCCTCCGGTTCGCTCTCCTCAGAAGGCAGGCAGAAGGACTGGTAATTGTTGGACTCCCACCAGGCCGTCCTTCAACAGGCCAGAGAGAACAGGGAATTAACCTGGCCTATCACAATTTCTCTTGGCGTGCACTTCATCCTGCTAGTCACAAACAGCAAGTGCCCAGTGGAAGTGCAATTAGACACTCACCCTGATTACAGTTTTCTGCCTATTTGTAAATCAACAAGAAGTCTTACTGATGAGTCTAGCTGCCTCCTGACTATACTTCAATAATGAGCAGCCATCGGATGTCCCTGTTTTTAAGAACAAGATTAAGGTACTGTTCAAGTGAACTAACTCTGTCAGGCAGCGACAATAAAACCTTAACATTTTCCCGCTTGAGCTGAATGAGTCTCTCTACCTTAGGCATTCAGGACTTTTTACAAAAGTACGCTGTTAGGGTTAAAGCTCAATCTTTAAAAAAACATTCTATTTCCAGAAAGAGCTACCAGTTTTATAGAAGTTTTCTGCAATTTTAAAGTGTTCAACTGTGGACGTAGTATACAATAGTGTTTCCTTTAAACGTGACCCTCATCAGCTTTATGATAATACAATCAAATAAGACACACATACTTTTTCTCGTGTTCTGCTTCTTCCTTTTTCCTCTTCTTCTCCTCCATTAGTCTCTTTCTCTTGGCTGCTGCTTCTTGTCTCTTCTTCCTTCTGTCCTCCAGTTCCTCTGGGCTCAGAATCCACTTCCTCTTGGTAGACCCTTCCGCAAGGCCTGGGAGGAGAACCTTTAGGAAGAACAAGATCTATAACCAGGAAGGTTGGGGGCTGCCTGTCCCTTCATGAGTTTCATTCATCCTTAAAACACATTCTGTGTGGGGCACCTGGGTGGCTCAGTCGTTAAGCGTCTGCCTTCGGCTCAGGTCATGATCCCAGGGTCCTGGGATGGAGCCCCGCATCGGGTTCCCTGCTCAGCGGGAAGCCTGCTTCTCCCTCTCCCACTCCCCCTGCTGGTGTTCCCTCTCTCGCTGTGTCTGTCAAGTAAGTCAATAAAATCATTAAAAACAAAACAAAACAAAACACATTCTGTGTGAAAGCAACACACTTAATATTTCACAAAACTGCATCTCCCTGCCCCCTTGTGTGGTGGGAAGTGGTGGCAAGACACTTCAATTTACTGTTCACATTACACATCGTCACTGGCCTGGTGATCAGGATATTGTGCTCTAAGCTCAACCAAACTCAACTCATGGTTGGTAGAGCAGTACATCATCTGATTAATTTCAATAGGATCAGGTACTTCAGAAAAGTAATTTTTTTTAATAGAAAGCATACCCTCCAAGAGCCCATTTTAGGTTTAACCATTTTTATTTTTTTAAAAGATTTTATTTATTTATTTGTCAGAGTGAGAGAGAGAGCACAAGCAGGGGGAGAGGCAGAGGCAGAGAGAGAAGCAGACTCCCCGCTGAGCAGGCAGCCCGATGTGGGACTCGATCCCAAGCCCCTGGGATCATGATGTGAGCCAAAGGCAGATGCTTACCTGACTGAGCCACATAGGGGCCCCAGTTTAACCATTTTTAAAGGAAATCCTCCTATAATGTATTATATAATTCCTTCTCAGAGTATTTCAACATCATGATTATCTTAACAATAGCTAGCATTTAATGAGCACATACTAAGTGCCAAATACCAAGAACATTATATACATCGTTCATGACTGCCACCCTCTGTTAGTGACACAGGGTCAAATTATCAGGAGCAGGGTGTGGTATCTTGGTGATCCCTTCTGGGATGGCTAAGATGGACAGGGCTGCTTTCACCTGCATTAAGTGGTAAAATACACTCTTCCTGTTAATGTTATTTATGCCAACTTTTACACAGGTTTTATACTAGAGTACAGTTAATTATACTTGTATTTCAACAAATGTCTACATACTTATTTCTCAATAAATCACTCACAGCATCATTTTTTGTTCTCTTAGGATGCAAATTTGGGAGAATTCATTCTTTTACACAAATTAATAGTCCTTACACTGCTTTTATTTCGGAGTAACCGGCCCTCTTGCGTAGTTTTCTCCAAAAGGGTTTTCTGAAGGTTCACCAGTTGCTCAAATGATTTTCTATCTTCTTTACTAGGCTCCTTGGAATAATCTTTACCCTCAAATAAGTACATATGGTTTTCTAAGAACATAAAACACAAAAGAGAAATGTCAGATACTAGAGAAAAATGGATTAATTCTATTCAAAGCGATAAGGGCAAAGAGAACAGTTTGTATTCTAAAAGGGCTAAGACTAGCTTGTGATGAAGGTACTGATTCTGGATTCCACGAACACTGCTAGGTGGGAATCTCACACATTCACTGTTTAAAGGAGAGGGTGTGGCTAATGCCCTCTGGTCCACCTCTAGCTGGTCTGCAAGTCTCGGCTGGATACCTCCACCCTGTTGAATCTTGGGATCACTCATCACCGATTCCACACTACTAGTCTCACTGATACTAAGATCACTTAATAAAAGATACCTGAGAACATAATTTTTTTATTCTGCACATACTTAATACTCAACTCTCTCCCCCCTTTTCTGTAATATTAAAGGAACAAGTAAGTGGCAAATCTATGAGAAAATAGAGAATCACAAAAATAATTCCTGTGATTTATAATATTCTTTTCAGATCTCATGAAGTATCTTTATGAGCCTCCCCACAATCCTGGTATAACTAACCCCGCTGAAGAAAGGGAGAAATGAGGCTCAGACAGGGATTAAGGGACTCCCCAGTTCTCACTGCTAATAAATGAAGAAGGCAGGATTTTGACTCAAAAGCCTGCATGCTCTTTTCAGAGCATTCCTGTGTCTGTAGGATGGAGAGTGAACAGGCCAGCACATACTAATTATAGTAATAATAATAATGATAATGTAATCTTGATAGTATTTTATGCTATCGGAACACTTTCACATCTATTATCACATTTAATTTTTCAACTATTTAAAAGAGTAAAGCAGACATTAACAGCACGATTTTATAGATGAGGACACAAAGGCTGAAAGGTTGCGTGATGTGCCAAGATCATGAATCAGTGGTAAAGAGAAGTCATGACAAGCCAAGATCAACAACCACAGAGAGGTGACATAATGATTCTAAAGTGAAGCGTATTTAATAGCACACACTACCAAAGAATGTATTTTCACAGCATTATGAAATCAGCTTTAAGTATGTTTTCTCTAGAGAGTATGAAAGCAAAACATTTTCATCTCAAGAGATCAATTGCTTCACACTTGTACCCAAATCCAGCCAGCTGTAATTCTAATTGGCATTTGCTAATTAAATCAGCAGGGGGCTTTCAATGAGGTGCTCTATCAACAAGTGGAAAAAAAAAAATAAAGAGCTGAGAAGTGTCAAATATGATCAACATATGTAGCTTCATATTGCATGCAATTCTCAACTTACAAACACGCTTTTTAAAAACCCTGACGTTCCAGATAAAGCAATCCTGTTTTTTATTTGTTTTTGATCGAAATTGCTTTAACTACTGGTCTTTCATATTCATTTATATTACTTTTAATTATGCTCCCTGTCCTCACTCTGCAGCCAAGAGGAGGCTGGAGACCACAGGCCTAGACCCTCATCTATGTCCTGCTAGTAGAACCATCTACCACAGAGTGAACATGTACTCCTTGATCCAAGACAAGATTCCAAATTTTTTTTTTTAAAGACTTTAATTTATTTGAGAGAGAGAATGAGAGAGAGAGAGTACATGAGAGGCGGGAGGGTCAGAGGGAGAAGCAGACTCCCTGCTGAGCAGGGAGCCCAATGCGGGACTCTGTGGGACTCGATCCTAGGACTCCAGGATCATGACCTGAGCCGAAGGCAGTTGCTTAACCAACTGAGCCACCCAGGCACCCAAGATTCCAAATTTTAATACAAGTAGGAAATCTTTTCTGGCAGCACTGACTGAGGAATATAATTATCTTTCTAGAAAACAGCAAAATCTTATTTTGTTCTAATAACATTAGGAAAATAAGCTGAAATTAATCTAGATGAGTGCAGAAATGGGTGCAAGCTTTAGTATTTCATATCCAAGTATAACTTCAAAATAGGGTCACATGCATCCATTTCTTCTCCCACCTAAAACCACTAAATGGCAGTAAAGGGATTTTGAAAAGATATGAGATTAATAGTGGATGGAAAGTTTAATAACTCTTGGAGAACATAAAGTGGCTGAAGCAATGAGAACAGATTAAGAAAAACCAAAGAGGCCAAACACAGGAGCCTAGTCAAGGGGTGATTTTGAGAATAGAGACCCTGTCAATCCTTCAAAGGATGGACAAGGACAAGGTGCTGGAGAGTGGGGGATCTGAGAGAAATTGTGTACACCCAATAACAGGAGCACCATGAACCCCTGTCATCCGCTGTCTCTTCAATTTGAGCAAACAGGTTTATTCAAACCCAAGAAAGATACTAAAGGATTCATCTCTGGAGAAACTAAGTTGCCCAAAGAAAAGACTTCAAATATAGACATCTGGGAAGGCCTCCTCAATGCAGAAGCCGGCTCCCCAACCAGTAATGCTGGAATAAAGACTAAGACTCCATATACCTGGCTCGGCTTTGGGCTGCCTATCAGCTTGGGCACTTCACTGGTACATTTCAGTGAACACTGTTTTCAGACAGCCAGAGGAGACCAGCTATTTCAAGAAAACTCAAGACAAAAACAAGAGGTTCTAAAGCAAATTTTGAAAAAAGCAGCAAAAGCAGCAATCGGAGGAAAGACAAAAAATGCAGGGGGCCAAAGAATACTTTTTAAAAAGCTATATAATAGGGGCACCTGGGTGGCTCAGTTGGTTAAGCGTCTGCCTTTGGCTCAGGTCATGATCCTGGGGTCCTGGGATCGAGTCCCACATCGGGCTCCCTGCTCAGCGGGGAGCCTGCTTCTCCTTCTCCCTCTGCCTCTCCCCTGCTCGTGCTTTCTCTGTCTCTCTAATAAATAAAATCTAAAAAAATAAAATAAAATAAAAGCTATAATAAATGTCTCAAGGGAGGACAGTATTATCTGTAAAACGAAAACAGGATGAGATTAAAACCGAGAACAAGAAAGAGTACTTGAAGAATAAAGATGGGATACTAATATTAATAAACTTAAAAGATAAAAACATGAGAAAAGTCAAAGAGCTGTGTCCTATAGAACAATACTAGCTGCCTAAATTCCAATCTCTCCATATACCCTATAAAACCACCCCTAATCCATGTCTGCTATAAAACGAGGAGTCAGAGAACATTACAAACTTCCATTTGCAGGTAAGTAGAGAAATAAACATCCAAACGCCAACGGAGCCCACTCCCAAGCCCACACTAGAGAGTGAGGCAGAGACTGGCAGTGTTGGACACAGCCCCCCAAAGAGTGCCAAACCCTACATGTGAAAATAATAAGGACAAGTCTCCGACTCGGTAGATCAGAGCACGGGCTACTAAGGAATTTAAAGGAAGGGACCAGAAAGTGCATGCAGCCAGGAGTTTGGGAAGGCACTGCTTCTGGAGAAAGAGACATCCTTTGGCAGTTTTGTGGCAAAAAAAGGAAGCAAGTGATGGAAATTGGGAATCCTATAGAAACAAAGAAAATCACAAAACCAGAAGTCATGCCAACCCCACTCCCCACCAAAAAAGAAGGCATCATCTAGTAAAAAAGCTACATGTCTGCATATCTGTGGAATAAGGTACTCTTGAATTAAGAAGTCTAGAGTAAGACCCTCAAACCTCACCCCAAATCTACACTGAATCCCTGCTGCCACTGGTGCATGACAAAAATAAGTATAAGACAGCAGGGAAAATCCTTACAAAGCTTTATGTGAAAAAAACACTTCAAGTCAGAAATTCAAATACTCAGATCTGAAACAGACAAAAAAGACAAATGCTGACCAAATTCAGAAAAGACAAAATCCTCTCATAATTTACATATGTTGTTTCACTAAAAAATTAGCAGTACCTACACCTTTATGGAGCACGGTGAAGATTAAATGAAAAAACGGGTATAAAGTACATGATGCGGTACACACTTTTGATCAAGCACAGAGTAAACGTTCAACCAATGTAAAAAACAAATCATTCTACTATTCAGAAAAGGAATATATTCAGAAAAGGAAAATGTGGAGGGTGCCATACTAAGGACAGTGGGCTTCACTAACAAAGGAGAAGATGCTTGCAATCAAGGCAGAAATGGTACAAATTAAAATCTTTAAGATACTACTATAAGCACTGATATCATTGAGTGGGTTAAGTTCAGCTACAAAGGAATAGTCAGACAATTTCCAGTCAGTCTAGGAAGAGTTCTTGGACCAAGGAAGTCTTAAACAGTGTGCCCAAGGTAAGAATAGGGCTGGGTAGGAAAAGATGCCCCAGGGAGCACTCACTATCCAGGACTTTCTATGAGGACCAATCTCACTCATGTCTAACTTGGGCGGCTGTGCCATTTGCTCTACTCTCAACCCCAACTTACTGCCTTCCTCCTGCTCGCTGACTCCACCTTCTGTTTTAGGCAAGGCATCAGAGATCCACTGGCCCTCTTCTGTTTCTCCCAGGATCGTCTCCAGCTCTATGTCATCCATGGTGCTCCCCTCAGATGAAAGCAATTTATCCAAACCGAATTTGAGTATCTCACTCAACTTGGAGAAAATGAAAAAGTCCAGTTAGTTCTCATGAAAATAAGCATTGGGATGTCAGTGATTTGCGACATGGTTTAATGACACAAGGTGAATCCCTTCCCTGTTGGTCAGCCATTCTTCTCTCCCCATGGGGATGACACCAACGGGGCCATTTAATAGCTGGACGGACGATGGCCAAGCAGAGAGGCGATGAATACTGATCAGTGATGTTGACTTTGACAATTCTCCACCACCACAAGAAAAATTAGCCAATATTTTCCTAAAGAACAGTAATATCCTGCATTATCTATAGTACTTCTCAGAGTCCTTTCTCACGGGCACTTCCAGCAGCCACATTAGAAATCAGAGACCCAGTCAGTCTCTCTCCCACTGAAAAATTTCGAAGAAGGCTACACTGGGTACCTTCCCTCTACCATTAACTGACTTCTTTCCTTCGGCAATCTGGTTTCCTACCACAGCGCCCTATGGAAACACCTTCGCAAAGACGAGTAATAACTGATAGCCAGACCTGAAGGCCATTTCTCAATTCTAATCTTCCTGGATATTTCTCTGGCACTGCACTATCCTGCCTCTCTTCCCTTATCTTAAAGGCACCCTTAGCCTATTCCATAGGGATACAGGAACCACCCAAACAGTTCAAATAATTTCCCTGGCTTTAGCTTCCTACTTCCAGCTTTGCAACTCCTTAAGCATTAACTCTCTGAGGTTCCAAATCAAGGCAGACTCACATCATGGCTTCTAGTTCATATCTTACCCTTTTAGACTGGGTCAGTTATCTCTAGATGGTCTAGTATTTGTGAGCCAAATACTGATGGGAACGTAAACTGTTCCCAACACCAGCTGTTTGAGAGGGCTCTGTCGGACTTCTTGCCCAGCTATGCAGACCTGAGCATTTGTTAGAGAGATCTGGCCCCACAGAAGCTTTCCAAGAGAGTCAAGGAAGGGATGAGGAGGGGCCATAAATTAGGGTTTCTGATGGGAACAGGAGGAAAACCTCTGGTAGATCTCAATTATCCTCTGGTCAAAGGGTAAGGCCCATCTCCTTAGCTTTTTAACGAAGCAAGTCTGGAATGAGAATGTGTGCTGGCCAGCAGCCTTCGAGGAGTCAGCAGCAAAGCTGGGCTAAAACCCAGAGCTCTCTGGCCCTCCAGTCTGGGACGCCACAGGACCAGCTTCTTCACCTTCCTTCCCCACCCAGAACTGCTGAAGAGCCCCAGATGTGGAAGAACGCTGGTGCTGAACTCTCTCACTTGTTCTGGCCAAGCCGATGAGCCCTGGCAGCTGCCTGCAAGTCATTCTGCGGATTGAAATCACTGTCGACAAAAATAACGGTATCTGCAGCCGTTAAGTTCATGCCAACTCCTCCTGAAAACAATGCAAAAGGAACGTGATCAGCAGCACTCCGGCTAGGGCTAGACGAGAAAGACACAAGGCTACAGCAGTGTGACTGGTAAATTAAGATCAGTCAAAACAGTTGGCCTCACCCTTCAAACTGACACTCCATCCCCAACCCCAGGACCTTGGAGTGGTTAACAGTGCTACCCGGGCTCACATTGCCTGACTTGGGAAAATTTAACGACCAAAAGTAACAGAATGAGAGGAGCAAGGGCAAGGAGTTAAAGTGCAAGCTGAAGTTAGTGCCAGGAAGCCATTTTAAATGGTTTGATTGGTTTGTTTAGAATGCTCTAAGAGGACGCATGCTCTTTCAAAAGAAAACAGTCTTAAATATGCAAGAGGCCTTCTGCTGTGGGCGCTGTTAAGAGAGGAGTTAACATCCACCGCAGGTTACAACTAAGGCAGCAAGGTCCCTGATAGAGGCTAATGTGAACAGAGGATGACATTTATTTATTACACTCCTAAGCAGAGCAGGAAACTACCTCCCTCTGACAGGAGAAAACTTAGAAAGCCTTTTCTGTATTTGTTTCCACATGAATCAAAGAGAAGCTAACGAAACCAACCATAGGACAAGAACACTCCATGGGACAACTTTCTGATCCTTCTTCAGCGTAGCAGAAGGGCTGAGGAGGCTCTTTGGATGATGAGAATTAATTAAGAGAACCATGAAAGCAAATTACAGCCTTGTCTTTGATTAATGTGGAAACAAGTACAAAAGGGACTTCCTCTTGCCAGGGTCGTTACAGCTCATTGCTGAGACAAGCAAGCCTGAAAGGGCTTGTTCCAAGGGCCTGAATTAAGGACTAACTTTTGAGATGGGCTACTGACTCTAAGCTGGCTCTCAAGACAAGTCAGGCAGGAATATTCTAATTAAAGACTTCATATAAAATTAAAGTTGGAATAAAGAGACAATAAAGACTGATCACTGAGAGGTGCTAAATTATACCTGACAATAATGCTTGTGCTGTGCTTACTCCGTGCCAGGCACTGTTCTACACATTTCACATATATCGACCCCTTGAATTCTCACAACAACCGTATGAGTAGTTTGTTATTACTATTCGCATTTTATAGATAGAAGAACAGAGAAGCCAAAGGACTTATTAGAGATCACACAGCTAGAAAGTGAAAGAGCCAGGAGTCAGTCCCACAATGCCTGGCTCCAGAGACTCTGCTTTTACCCACTACGCCATAATTATCTCCCAGGTACTTATTTCATTAAAGTGTGCTCCATAAAAATTATCATCTTCTTCTTGGGTTAATGTCTCAGTTCAGCTCTTCTTCATTAAGGGGTGATGTTTTACAAATAAGTTATTCTCCAGTCTTGTTTGGGAAATATCGTGAGCTATCACTGCCACCTGGTGGCAATATGCTTCAATCACAGAAATACTTGAAAGTTGGAGGGAAACCTGTTAAATGAAACAATAGTACTACTAATCTACAGCTAAAAAGTAAGGCAAACATGACTGTTAGTGTTTGGGAAAGGCTCATGTCCAGGACTGCTTCAGTTCTCAAAAGATTACCCTGTGCTGATTCTGCTTCTGAGTACTCCAAGGGGCTAACTCTTTCTTCCTGATTTTAGACCTTTCAAACATAACGCTACTCTCTGAATATGAAGATGATGAAATCAGTAACGCATAAATAGAGCTGTTTTCCAACACTGAAGATGCATTTGCCCTGATCCTTCCAGTGTCTCCTAAAACCATCCCTGAGACAAGAGAGAACGTGAATAAATGGCTGATTCAGGGTGCAGTCTATGATAATGGAAGCAAGTGAAGCCAAATGAATCGGATTATACCTTTGTAATATGGAGATGAGACATACACAGGTGAAACAATCTCCTTATGGTCAAGGATTCTACCTAACACATCTTTTATGTACCCTTATAGTATGGGACACTTAAATGCTTTCTAAGATGGAACTTTCTCTTTACACAAATATTGATCTCTCCTTAATAGAGGATACAAATCCCTTTAGTGTTCCTGCATCTACTGCATCAAAATTAGGTTTACAGGGCACCTGGGTGGCTCAATCGGTTAAGTGTCTGCCCTTGGCTCAGGTCATGATCTCAGGGTCCTGGGATGGAGCCCTGTATCGGGCTCCCTGCTCAGCAGGGAGTCTGCTTCTCCTTCTCCCTCTGCCCCTCCCCCTGTTTGTGCTCTCTCTTGCTCACACTCTGTCTCAAATAAATAAATAAAAATCTTTAAAAAAAAGAAAAGATTAGGTCTACAAAAAGTAAGATAATGAAACTAAGATTCTAGAAGTCCAAAACTAATTTAAGGTCAGCTTGCTCCATGACATAAGAATAATTTCATCTCTGAGAACTGATTTCAAATGACTAAAGCGTCTATAAAAGCAGTCTTTAACTGGTAAAGCATTATAAATATCACAGAAAATATTTATGACTTAACTCATCAAGATAATGTTAAAAATAATTCTAAAGAGCTGGCAATTTCATTATAATCGCAACTTTTTTAAAAAAGAGATTTTTATTAAGCGTTTACAGCACTATTCCAGAGCTACTTGAGGAAGAGGGATAAGTAGCAGACAGGTTGTTATCTTACTTCCCAAATTCACGGCTGGGAAGGAGAGTGTTCTCTACTGAATGTGAGTAAAACTTTCCATGAGATTACAGACATCTTCCAGGACAACCCCAGGTCAGTGGTCAAAGCAGAATCAAATTCCCTTCCAACAACCCCTGCTTTCAGCCTTCCTTCTCTGAGCTGGCAGCTTAGATAACGTGGACAGGGAACAACCCCATGCTAGGAGTCCAATACTTTGATTAACTTACGGCAACTCCCTCACAATTGCCCTTTTTTATGTTCCTTGGTAATGACCTCACCTTTCAGAGAATTAGGGGAAAGCATACTACTGGTCGGGATGTAAAAGTACTGTATCCCCCCCTTATTTGTCTGCTTTGGCCAATGCCTGGGTGGCCTACCTGCCCTGGTACTCAGAAGAAAAATAAAAACGGGCTGCTGTCCAAAGTTCTTAACGGCCAGGTGTCTCTCCTCTCCTCTCACAGACCCATCCACACGCTCGTAGCTGTACCCTTCACACGGACAAAGAAAACACAGAGAAACCGTTTTCACATACTCTTTGGGGGAATAAAACTCTGTCGGCTCAAAACCAAATGCTAATTTTGTCCCTTTTTGTATACAGGTATGCCTCTACTTGAAGCAAATCCCGTGGGAAAAATCTAAATTTAGGTGACATTTCATTGTTTTAAACAAGCACTCAACATAATATACCTCTCTGGGATTTTTAAATACGTGCAGTTGACGTATTTGGCGTTTGAGGAGTTAACAGTCAATTCTGACTATTCCAGCCCCAAAGCACACTGTGAACCATGCTGTGTGGTAGTTTCCAATTCTGCCACGACAGAATTCTTACTAATGCAAGCAGTAAGACAAGCACCGAGGAGCTGGTGAGTGAGCCTGCCCAATGGCCCAGGAGCTGCCTTTCAATGAAGCTTCAGGTTCACCCATCACCACAGACCCCTGTCAGGAAAGGGAATTATATGCTCAAGGCCTGTTTGTGAATCTGGGGATCCCCCAACATGCCAATGGCATTTCCTACGAGTGTCCAATGGACCAGGTACTGTACTGTAGTACTTAGGGGGCATCGAGTGGCTCTGAGAGACCTACTCTGAATTCATATTTTAAGGTCTGAAGCTGATGCTCCCTCACCACTGATTTCAAGATCAGTCAGTGTTACAGCCTTTTCCCATCATCCCACATACATTTTATTATATATTAAACAGAATCCCCAGGTAATAACTTACATTCCCTATTGTTTATAAAGAAAAAACATTCCTTTCCCTTGGTTGATACATGGGATCTCTATAATTTCATCTTTTCTACTGATCCTGAGTAAGTGCTCAACAGTAGAACTGAATGTTGCAAGACACCGGAAGCTCTTTTTTTAGCAAACATTTTCAAAAACACTCAGCATTTCTGCAACTCGGATTTTTTTTCCAGTATCCACAATTTTAAATCACATCGCCAGTGGGAATATGTGTGTTTATTTCTGCCCAAGTGTCTCCACCCGGCTGTCAATCCTTGTGTAACACACCTCTCTCCTTACTTTCAATCTTCCTTTGGTTCAGAATAATGTTTTCACTGCTTTCCTCTGTAACATCCCCACCCCCCAGATTACTCTTCATGGGCCTACTAGACTCTTAAGTCTAAAAAAGGCTCAGGCAACGTAGTGGCCAAGGAACGTCACCTCTATAGTCCATGTAGTCTTGGAGAATATCCAACATCTGGGTCATCTGGGAGAAAAGTAAAACTCGATGGCCCCTGGCAAGAAAGAGAAAAGGAAAGGCTACCAACTCTTAAGTTTCCCTGAGGGAAACTTACCAAAGAATACAAGTTTATAAATAAATGAAATACTGAAGCAGAAATCTAAATACCATAATCATTTACAGAGACTTCCTCAGAAATGCTGAATGTTCCACATGAATAACCCCAAATGTAGCCATATTCTGCAGAGCCGAGGTTCTCAAACTACAGATACTCCCAGGAGCAAATGCACCAGGGGGTACAGAAAGCCCCAGGATAACCAAAGCACGTCTTTCTGGAATGTCAATTTACGTTCCAATTTAATGGAAAGAAATATACACTTTCATTCGAACGGCTAAATAAATAAAGGTATGTGAAGAATAAAATGTAAAAGTCAAACGCACAAAACCCAACTGGAAATCCTGAAGAACTTGTGATCAGTCACCTGTAGCCATCCTCTGCTTGTGGGTGTCAAACCACTATCCTCTCATCTACAGCTGTATTGGTGGAAAAGTCTGACAAGTATCACTTTAGAGAAGGGGCAGGTGGCATCTCATATCCCATAGGACACATTAAAAAACTTATGTATAGCAAGAGGAAGGGAAAGGAGGAGGCAAAATGAATTAAGTCAAGAATGAAGATGAGCCTACAGTCCCATGTTATCAGGTATTATTTTAAGTTTTCACAAAGAAATATGACACTGTCAAAACAAGAGTCTCATTAGGAAAACTAATTTAGGGCGCCTGGGTGGCTCAGTTGGTTGAGCAACTGCCTTCGGCTCAGGTCATGATCCCGGAGTCCCAGGACAGAGTCCCACATCGGGCTCCCTGCTCAGTGGGGAGTCTGCTTCTCCCTCTGACCCTCTCTCCTCTCATGCTCTCTCTCACTCTCTCAAATAAAAAAAATAAAAAAAA